GTCTTGTAGTGGCATTAAAGTCAACTAATTTATGTCCATCACTGTCATCACAGAAACCCAAGTTTGGTCAACTGTATCAAGTGCATGTTACTTTTGATGTCAGAATGGGCAGAGATGTATCCTGATGATGGTGGAAGCCTAGGTATTATAAAACTGACACAATCTGAGCATGTGTTACACTGTCCCTTCTACTGAGAAAAGTGACAAAGAGTGCCTGGTCCATGTTTCAATCGATTATAATGGGAGAGCACAATGACCCTGTAACATGTATGGCCCAGAAACCTCTTACTAGATGTAGGTGTTGCTGAAAACAACAAAAATCCAAGACACTTTATGGGTAAAGCAGTGCACTTCTCCCCAACCTTCAGTGTTGATATACTTGGTATTGTGTACCTTACACATTGTCATTTCCACATACATTTTGAATTTTCAAAGTTTCAAGAAGACAAGTCCTCTAGGAAGCAGTGAGATAAAACTGGCCACAAATGAATGATTCTATACTTACAGCGCTCTCTGTAGGTGTAATGTCTAAAATAAGTCATGAATTTCTTCCTTCCATAACTAGTATAAAATAAATTTTTTATGTATCTTTTATCCAGATATTTTCACTTAATATTTTATTAAACTTCCATGCAGTTACTGCATGTAGTTAAACCTTCTTTTTTAACTGGATGTCTTGAGATAATAAACTTGTGCTAATTATTTTATATAGGTAAAGCCTGACTATCGCAGTCTTTGTTCTTAAGTCTTAAACTAGCATGTATATGTTTCAAGAAAGGTATTCTGTTCTAACCTGTACAACTAACTTGGTTTAATATTACTTGTAGACTATTGGTTTAAGTATATATTAGTAAGTCAATTGCTTCATGTGGACTAGTGAGATGCCTGAATTTCTTTGTTTCACTAGAACATTTAAATTAGATATTTCCACAGTTTTATCAATCAGTTTCGCTCTTGACTTTCACCCTGTTGATTACAGCAGCCAGACGACATAGAAGAAGCCCAGCCCTTTCGTTAACAGAACATTTTTTGTTGGATAAATAATTTTGTGTTTGTTTTCCTTTACTGTCCGTAAAAAAAATTATATTCTGCTTAACATTCCTGAAGCTTGTATTTTGCATAAACTTGCGGTCTTTCCGTTGGACATTAGTGTAGCTGAATACCATACAAAAACTAATTTCATAGATCCACGTGGTTGTTACAAACAAATCACGTCATGAATTTTTTTTTTTACATCTGCTATATAAATGCAAAATTTTGAAGCATAAAATTAACATGGCGTGTACAACATGATTCCTGCTATTTGTTTATGAAAAATAACATGTTCAAACATTTTCAGGAGTTCTTACAGCTGCTGAAAACTTTGTAAAAATTATACATTAAAAATTGTTACAACGAATGTAGTGATTTGTGAAAATACTGATATAAAATCTTTTATAATAATACTCAATTCTTATATAATAATAATACTCAGTTTTCGTCTGTCCTGAAAGTGCGCGTGCATCTTTCTGTCTAAATGCGCATGCGCGCGCACTTTACATTTCGATGGATGTAAACATACTTTAGTAGACATTTTGTACAACAACATATTAAAAGCTTATCAAAGTTTTTAAAAACGTCTAACGTTAGGTCGTAGAATAACATTATAGGTTTATTTATTGACAATATTCAGTACGGTAAAGCTTAGCCCTAACTAAACTAAAACAAAAAACGTACAAAAGTTACAGTTACTTTATCTGTTTATCGAATACAGGCCGTACTTAATTAAGGTTTAACTAATGTTAAGCCTAAGACAAATGGACTTATAGATTTTGGTGTCTGCGATTTGAATTATTTTGTATTATTCAAGAAATCCTGTGTTTAAAGAAGTACTGTAAATAAAGGTACTAATTTGACTGCAAATATTTTGCAGTCTCTAACAGTAAATGAATAATTTATGGATACAAAAATTGCATTAACAGTTAATCACAAATACATAACCAGTTTGAATCGATTTTTGCGGTGCCACCTGTATCAGTGAAATATTTTTATCCAACTAAACACTCGTTTTAAAGCCTTTACTGTTTAATGAAACAAAATGTCACTGTTTTAATATAAGATGAAATTATATAAAAAATTACAGTTTTAAGGTATAAAATTTGTGAATTTTGGGTACCCAGTTTCTGTTTGAAAAACACCTATATAACTTTTTAACAGATTTTTTCTCTCGCTTTGCAAAGGCGGTTAGAAGAATCGCTACTCACTTGCTGTAACCCTTGTAGACTGTAGCATAAGAACCTTCGCCCAGTTGCTCTAATTTTACGTAAGCTTCGGTCTTTCCAAAGGTCAAGGCTCCCTATAATGAAATACACTGTATTAGATTGTATGGTTGATTAGTTCACACATATGTATTTCACTGTATTAGATTGTATGGTTGATTAGTTCACACATATGTATTTCACTGTATTAGATTGTATGGTTGATTAGTTCACACATATTTGAAAAATATCGTATTATTTGCAAAATACCAACAACAAAAACAAATGTATTTTAAGGTAATTATTATACTTTTTTTTCTAAATAACTGCTAAACTTGATTCAAATCGTGCTAAAACTTCACCTGAATTAAAGTAAATGAGATTTAGATTACATAAAGCACAGTAGTACAGTTTATTTATCTCATCAGACTTCTCGACTTCCTCTTATTATATAAATACTTTGCTATATAATGCAATAAGACTTGCTTTTCCCTTTCTAGATAATGTTTGGAGTATCTCCAACTGCACCATATAGAATAATTTCTCAACTAACACCAAATTATGAGTTCATTCGCCACATCTAAAAAACAATGGTAATTTTCTCAGAGTTTTCGGGTTGTATCGCTACTTACCGTTACTTGTTTCATTAGACTGTTTTAAGTAACGTTCATGATAAAAACGATCAGACGCTTTTCACATCTAGTTTATAACAAAACTGAGACTCTTCCTATCAGACGCTTTTCACATCTAGTTTATAACAAAACTAAGACTCTTCCTAACGAAGAACAATAACACATGACACACATGTGTATATGGTAGAAAACAAACCTAACTAGAAGGCCACGTGATTACACTTTTTAAAGTTTCATTACCGCGTTGCTAAAACACCATATGTACAGAAGGAACATATGGGAACAATACACTGAATGCCTGGAGATTTCTGTAAATAGCTTGAATGTATATCTCTACAATAAGAATATATGTACATTCATGCTGATTATCAATCAACAATTGACAGTTTTTTCAGCTTAGCTGTGTAATTATTTACTATGTTGTAAATTCTAATATAACTGTACGACTTATCAGCTAACAAGCAAGTTTTAAATGTATTCCTGGGAAACAGTCTAGTGTGCAACACCACAGGTTGTCAACTTAGGCCTACGAGTTTCAATGTGTAAGAACTTGTAGAAATTTTAAGGAAGAAATAAACTCATTTTGTTATCACACATGTGTGCTGGACTTCGCATTATTTTCGCCAGATAATTTAAAGGAATTTTCCAAATGAAAGAACGATGTTATAACAGTAATAACTACATTTGGTTTCTATCATTAGAACACTATGATCATGAAATAAATAAATCGAACTGTTGGATTGATAATTTGCTCTTAATAAAAAGACAAAAGCATGAATACATTTTAATATATTCATATATAACTGCATTGCAATTGTTTCGAGCACATATATTGAAGTTATATAACCGTGTGTATGTGTTTCTAAAAAGAGAAACGAAGGAAATACAGAAAAGGGAGTATTAAGAATAACGTCCAAATAAAGTTACTTTTAAAATTTCACAGCTGACTGCATATATGCGATAATCAATACGAATACAAATACTTAACTAAATCTTCACCGTATTACTAAAAACAAAACTAACCCAATACTCATTTACTATTCACCGTTCTCTGCTTCACTGATTCTCGTATCTTTAACCTACTCTCATCTCTTAATATTCTCCTAATTTACTAGACTTTATTAACATAACATTTAGAACTTTCACTACTCCCACAGACTTACTTGATCTTAACGTCATGTGCCCTCTAACCAACATCTAAATTACAACATAAAATATAGCTTATAATACTGCCCCCTTCTTAGATTGTGAAGTCATTTGCAAATCCTAATACAAAAATACTAAGACACTATACTAAACTGTCCATTCACCGAACGTTTTTGGTGGTTTTCTATTCCGAGGCCATGTTATACAGACTGAATGGAGTCCTTTCTGCAGTTGTCACTGAGTGTCCAGTTATTGGATAGGGGTATTCATCCTGGATAGATGATCGAATGAATCCACTGGCGACTCTACTCTTGAGAATCCTCTGGAAGTAGTTTAACAGGAAGTCCTTCAAACAGTTGAGTTTCTGCTGACAAGTTATCATCTGGAGTTATCCGGTTGACCATTCTTTTACCGACCTACTTCCAAAAGACTATCATAGTGGCTGACTATCAGCTTAGACCATTCTGGATTCTGTAAACCACATCATTGGTTCTTTTCAGTGCATCATATGAACACTTCTTACACCTAGTGTATATTGTACAAACATACCGTGTCACCTCATTGAAAGCCAGTCTTATCAGTATTAACATCATAACAACTTTTTGATTTTACCACCAACTGATTTAAGTTTTACTCGGGTAAAGTCATGTCTGACATTATTAGTGTTCCTTGATCTCTGCATATTCTGTGTAAGACTTTTCTGTATTATTCTCTGAATAAGAGCATAGAAGATCTAACAATACTTTAAGTTCTCTGCCAAGCATCAATGACTGTGTGTTGCCAGTAGATTCATGTATTGCTGTACAATAATTCATCAGTAACAATGAAAGATTTTGATCTACATACATGGCTAACTGATTTAACAATGTGTTGTATATCTCTCCACCACGCCGTCAGAAGACTGATGAAGACCTGTTGTACTGGTCTTTCAAATCTCAAGGATTTGATACATTTCTCCAAACATATCTGATTCAAAGTTCCATAAGCACACAAAATATTGAGACAAATTTGTTGATGAGTTCCTTGCTATAGTTTCTGCTTCCTGGTTAGGAACATTATATGCTTTTGGCCATATTAGGACAAGGTATACACTCTCAAGGACAAGGCAACTCTCTCAAGTGGTACTCTAACACAACACTACTGTAACTGCTCATACTGTTTCTTTTGTGGACCTTTCTGCTCACATCAGAGTTCACATTTAACGCCATCTCCACAGGTCCCTGGTACCCATCCAGTAGAAGTATTCTCTTGTTTGTTTGTTTCGTGTAAAGCTGATTGAAGAATATTTGTGCTAGCCATCCCGAATTTTGAAACGATAGACTAGAAGGAAGACAGCTAGCCACTGCCACACACTGCAAACTTATGGACTACTCTTTACCAATGAATAGTGGATTGACTGTTACAATGTAACACACCCCACTGCTGAAAGGACGAGCATGTTCTTTACGGGATTCAAGCCCACAATACTCAGATTGTGAATTGATGCCCTAAACACAAGGCCACTCACTTCAATGTCTTCATAACACTTGTGTGTCCAATCATTGGAAGGTTGTGGAGATGCAATTGTACTTCAGAATGTAGAGACTGTATAAATACCATCTTTAGTTGTTTTGTCCACTGGTATCATACCAGTTTTGAGATAATAATCTCTCTTGCATTCATATACAATCCCACTGTGCTCAATACATCTTCGTCTTTGGGCTATACGAAGCGACTGTTTGCTTTGGGTTTTAATACATTATTCTTGAGCTACTTAAGAATTGGTCTTAAACTCGTATATTTTGCCTGAGTATCTTTCAGATCAATGTTGGACAACACTAGTTTCTTATCACTTGTGGGTGCCACATCTTGGTCTACACCACACTGTACTTTTGGTTGGTCTTATTCACAAGACACTTCAATTCTGCATGATATGTGTGGAGTATAAACTTTTGTCTGTATAGATAATGATGGAAATTATTTAGGGCTTAGAAAACACTCAGTAGTTCTTACCGAGTTGCATAATACCTGCTTTCTGTGGCACAGTGTAGTAGAATGTTAACAGACAAAATTTGGATAAATTAAACTCAATTGTAAGTGTATAGTTAGATTTATTACTATGTGTTAATTCTTGCTTGTGTTATTATTATTATTATGTAGGGATGATGCAAATACCATCCCTACTATCTTGTTTGCATTGTTTTTGAAGGATTAATATTAGCCATCCCTACATTTACTTCCATATTTGAAAAGTTTTTTCTTTACTCGTTTGCTTGTTGTTTTAATGCAGTGTTTCAACAGACATAGAAAGGTTGTATTTATGACCAAGTTCTGAATACAATGAGGTTCCAACTACAATATTTATTGTTTATCTATTATTGGTTGGTAATTCCAGTTTCACCCTGTACTTAAGCTTTTTAAGGAACACCAAATTTCTGTAAGAAAGCTAAATTCAGGAGGTAATGATAACTTTGTTTAAACTAGAATTATGATTCTTTAATTACTACTAGTTATTAATAATACTTATAAAAACGGATGCTCCGTTTGAAACTATGTCACCTCAGTCAAATTGGTTGACACCATTGTTTCGGTTTTTGAATTATAATGTAATAAGCAAGCAGCAGAAGAAAGAAGAACAATAAATTCAAATGCTTTGCAATGATATTTACAGACATTCCCAGAAGTTGTGACTCAGTCATTACATAGATATTGTTATTAAAGGAATAACTGTATAATATTGTAAAGCTCTGATGAACTATTGAGGATATATTTAAAATTAATTTCGATGAACAATCCATGGGATCCCTACATAAACAGTGCTACCGTCTGCCTGATAACTCAATCAAAATTGAGTTTAATATAATTTTGTCTGTTAACATTCTACTACATTGTGTGCCTGTACTATTATGTAGGGTGATGCAAATGCCACCCCTACTATCTTGCTTACATTGTTTTTGAAGGATTTATATTAGCTATCCCTACATTTACGTCCTTTTTTTGAAAAGTTGTTTCTTTACGGGCCGTTTTGAGTGGATTTTGTTTTACTTTTAAGTCTAACATACGTGTTTTTTTGTGCATTTTTATATGTGTACAGCCTTAACAGTCACTAGTAAAGGTTTTAAAGCGTTGTTTGAACTAAAGGTATGTTTTGCCCAAACGTTCTATTAAGGTTTTGTGCAATTTCTTGCGATCCCTATTATGAACCACTATCGTTTTTTTTGTACATGTCTATTATTAAAAAGACCATAAATCAACACTGCACTAACCTTTCTAGAGCTTTTCCAACAACAAATCCCAGTAACCATTACTATACTAGTTGTCAACATATTGAATAAACACGAACAGCACTGTATGTTCCACGTACGCCTCACTTCAAGTACACAAACCTCCTAATAGGCGTGTGTGTATGTTTGTAAGACTAGTTGAAAAATAAAGCACAGCAATATCATTACTGAAACTTTCCAAGAACTAATCACGTGATTCAGCGACTAATATAAGGTGAGCCGAATTCGGATCACGAATTTTAGCAACGACTTCTCATGTGAAACAATATTCAAAACTGTAACGCTGTCGTTCTGGCTATAGTTTCGTCATTGGTATATATATAAGGAACACACTCGCCGTACTACTACTACTGCTCTACCTCCGATTACAGATGGGAAACACTTGTCTCAACAAAACTCGTATAAATATACAACCTCGTACACGCTCATGAGAGTACGATACCTATATATGCATTAAGTTAAACGCGAATATTTTATTTAATCCATGCTGAAAGAATTACCTATATATCAAGTTAAACGCGAATATTTATTTAATCCATGCTGACAGAATTACCTATATATATTAAGTTAAACGCGAATCTTTATTTAATTCATGCTGAAAAGAATTACCTATATATAAAGTTAAACGCGAATCTGTATTTAATCTATGCT